TGAAATTACATTTTAACCAATTAAATGATACTAAACTGGATAAACCTAAACCAAATCAGATCTCTCCGCTTCAATCCTTCTGGCATCTCCTCCGACCCAAATCTCGACAATTCACTTCCGATATATCTTCAAAGCTCAGTTCGCTTCTCAAAGCTGTTCCGAACTGGTCGGATGGTATCAAAGAGAGACTGATGCACCATAAACGATCTCTCTACACTCACAAAAAATGGGTTAGACAAAGAAGCTCACTTCGACATCTGCGTCATGTATCATCAAGTCCGTCTTCACGGGTTATAATGTGTTTGATTCCTCATGTTTTCTTCTTCAGTACCGTCGCGATTCTGATCGCCAGCTATAACTCCGCCGTGTGAATGGACTTGTTACCTGATTTCTTCCCCGTTCTTCGAGCTTCTCCTCTTCCGTATCAGCTTATGGCTTCGCCTTCGGCTTTAGCTCTGCTTCTGGTGTTTCACACAGAGGCTTTGTATTTAAGGTTTGAAGAAGGATGGAAAGCTTTGGTTAAGATTATGACTGGAACCAATGATTTAGCTAGACAAGTAATTTCTCCCGTTCATGGCTCCGATGATGAATTGATCTCATCTTCTCTACCCATTGACGAACCCAAAAACCAAATCCGCAAAAGATGATGAAAATCCAGTAAATAAGTCGCGACTGTCAGATTTTTTCTCCAATTCCTCCTTTGCTCTCTCTTCTTCTTCTTCCACAATTCTCACTCGAACCAAAACCCCAATTTCTCATTTCACAATCCAATCACAGATCGATTTGTTTTCTCGTTTTGATTAGTGAATCGCGATCTTTCAATGGATTTGACCAATATGGCGATGAGATGCAAGACAATCAAGTTCCGGGGACACAAGAGGACGAAGAAGTGTATCGTGTTAACATTGACGATGCAACACGTCCTTCGAACGAGTTTACCTATGAAACAACTCACCATAGGTCTGCAACGGTTAATCCGGTCCAAATTCCTGCTTCGAGAGTTCAAAATGGTAGAGGAAGACAAGGTACTACAACATAAAGATCTTCTAAAATTCACGTGTCTCACTTGGGAGTGGTTCACACGAAAGTAAAAAAAAACAATCATTTGAGACGATCTTAATATATACAATGACGGGCTTTAGGGAGTTTCAGCGCCAAAGTTTACAATAACTACGTCCAGATATGTTCGACCAAGACGATTACAACAATTTTGATGTGGCTGTAAAGATATTTGAATCGATGGAGCTTCCGAGTGATACAAANTTTTATTGGGCTTGCATTCAAGCACTCAGAGAAGACGAATTCTGGCGTAAATATTTCATTGATAGAGCTGAAAACACCTTTGAAGAGAAGATACAGTTTTTACAAGCTCTAACTGGTTTTACGAAAGATGATGAACGTGTGGAAAAACGCTTAGGTTCGGATAAATCTTTTGGAACTCCAAGTTCAGGCGGTTTTCAATCAGGTAGTCCATCTTCTGGTGGTAATAATTCATGGGGTCAAAATTCAGGTGGCCAATGGGGTCAAACTTTTGCTAACCAATGGGGTCATGGTCAGTAGTGGGGTACACTACCACGTGCTCAACAATGGGGTACACCACCAAGTTCTCAACAGTGGGGTTCATCGCCAAATGCACAACAATGGGGTGCACCACTAAATGCACAACAATGGGGTTCATCGCCAAATGCTCCACAATGGGGCATACCTCCAAGTGGGCAACAATGGAGTTCACCACCAATTGCTCCATAGTGGGGTTCGTACTTAAGTGGTCAACAATGGGGTTCATCGCCAAATGCTTCACAATGAATGCCTTCAACAAATGTTCAACGTGGATTTTCCCTGGAAACTCAAAACGAAACTAGAACAAATTCTCAAGAAGGAGTTTCTGAATCACGAAGACGTAGAGCAGGAGGATTATTTAACATTTGGGGCAGCCAACGAGGACCTAATTTAAATGAAACTCATCAAAGCGATTCCAACGAAGATGATTAGATTAGTAACTTGTGCGCTTTGTTAGTAATGATTGTCGTGTTTTGCTTTATGCTTTAATAATGTATTTTATTTATCATGTGTTTTGGTTCATGTAATTTTATTTCNTATCAATCTAATAAATTTGTATTTTTTGTGTTCTCAAATGTCAGGCTTTCCGTATATATCAGTTACGGTCACAAGGAATTCAGAATCTTAGCTACGAAGAGAGAATTGAGTTGTGGAATTTGGAGAATGAGCAATTTGAAGAGTTAATAATCCAACCAGCATTGAGTTACTACAGTCGATACTTTCAAAGGGGACCTACCCAAACAGATAATGGTTTGGGGTGGAGAAATATTTGGCGTCGATTACAAGAGGATCACGGTGCTTGTCTTCAGTTACTACGAATGTCACTTGGTTGTTCCGAACG